GGATGGGGTGTGGGTGGGTGGGTATGGGTGTGGATGGGGTGTGGGTGTAGAATGAGAAGAACACACCCACACTCACAAACACCCACGCTCACACACACCCACACTCACACACACCCACACTCACACACACCCATACTCACCCACACCCACACCCGTCGAATTCTAGCAATAGTAGTACTAGTGCTAGCAAACAACCATGTCTTATATGTCATGAAGAATCGTCCGGCTACCATTTTGGCGCATATACATGTGAATCGTGCAAGGCATTCTATCGACGAGTTACGAATGAGCCACACGTTGAAATTAAACATTCTTGTGAAGTTCCATTACCCAATATAACCAAATCCAATCGAAAAGATTGTCGAGCATTTCGTAAAGCTAAATGTGATCGTGTAGGAATGACAACTATGCCAAAAGATCGTGCACCACGAACAACAACAACAACAGCAAAAACTACTTACAAAACTGCTTCAATACTAATTACAAATCTACTTGAACAACTTGGTCATGATCTTACTTATGATCAATTATCAACATCATCAGCATTACAAAATATTCTTCGTATAATTGATTTACCATCAATAATTCCAATTAATTTCGATTATCATTCAGTTTATATGAATGCTGTTCGAATATGGAGAAATCAATATAATTATTCATCACAAATTATTGCTAATGTTGCAATAAATGATATATTTGCTGTATTACTTTTTCTATTTTATGCTTTCATAACAATGACAGAAAATGATGAAGATAAATCAATAAATAATAGTAAATTTGATAAACTTGTTAATATTCTTCAATAAGAAATTTATCGTATAACCGGCACTGATCATCGATCAGCATGTCGAATAAAAGCTTTATTTATGAAATGTTATGTGGCACTTGCTCAATATCCAAATAGTACAAATCTTCTTGATAATAATGATATATCCCAAACACAATTTATATCTTATCAACAATATCCAGTTTATGGTCAATAGATAACTTTTTATGTTGTGCCATTTGTTCATTTTCTTTCTTTCTTTTTTCTTTTGTTACATTTTTTTCATTCTTTGTTCGTTATTCGAATAGTAAACTTCTTGTATTTCACAATAACAAAAAAAAAGATAAGATACTATGATCCCACTAAATATAAAAAATACAGCATAGAAAGACAAAAAACAAAAAAAAAGTCTGATCAAATACATGTTGCGATGACGAAAACGTGCGGATTAACAGTAATGTTGATCTGCCAGAGTAACATATCTTAAAATCGTAAGAAAAGTAGAAAGTTGCACGTTAGCGACACTTCGCTATACTTCTGGAAAGTAGAATAATACTTTATAATAGGTATGTCATTTCAGTGGTGTAATTAGATACAGTTTTGGATGCATATTAAGGAGCGTACATTTTTTTTTGTCATATATCGAGGTGTGTATTAGCAAAATTTTTTTGGAATGTTACGTGTTCGATTGGTTGAGTTAAAATCAAGTACGATCGTAGATTGAAAATTTCTCACGTTAGTTTTGGCATCGATATAGAAAACTTCACACTACGAGAGGTTGTTCTACGAAATAGATTCCTTTTGATTTTTGAACGAT